TGGGTTTTCATTGGCTGGCGTTTGAGTAGCCCACTAGGTGTCTACTTCCTAGTGTCTTAGTCTAGAACTGACTCGACGGCACTTTACCACCACCAGCAGTCCCCCTCACTCCCACTGCCTTTAGTAGAGCGGTTTAGGTATTGTTTCATAAGATTAAATGTGAGGCTATTCAGTCTGCAGTTATTGACCTCCATGGTAATCTGAGGGCAGGAGGGAGAAAAAGGCCATGAACCCTAGGTACTCTGGCAGCTCTCTGTAATATGAAGGACAGGAAGTGGGCAAAGGGGAAGCTGTACATTCTAAAGAAATCACATAATGCATTTGCCTCAGATGCCAGTTAATAAGGAGGAGTTGCTTTATTCCTGATCTATTCCCTACTTCCTCTTTAATCAGTGTTTCATGGCAAAGTTCTGGATAGAGGTTCCTCAGGAACTTAAAAGAGGTAAAATGCTTGGTAGATAGAAGTAGGAAGCTTTTACTAGGAATGTCAATGAAGGAGTGGAACGGGAACAGGGAAGACCATAAACACTCTTCCTTGAGTTTACCTAATTTGCAGTGGGAGGTAAAGATGGGCACCAAGCCATCATCGCCACCTTTGTAATATTTCTTCTGTGGTGGTGAGCTTATGAAAGAGGCATGGTGAGCTTGCAGCAGTATGGTGAAATATCACAAAATGGGTGGAACTATCTGGATGAGTTATCTGTTTGCAAAGGAATCATATTACAAAAGACAGCTCCAGAATACCTTAACCTTCAGTATAGCAGTAATCTGGGATGTAACGTTTACAGCAAATGGTATTGGCTGTACTGGGGTGACTTGCATGTTGCTGTGATTCTGGAAGCTGTGCCATCGGCACTTTAAATACCAGCAGCTATTTAAATGGTGGACAGACTTCAGATAAGCTTTAAGACTAAGACAGACTAGGAAAAAGGAAAAACAGACTACTTCCAAATCTTTAGTCATTGAAAACTTCATGAAGAGCAGTGGAAGGAGCACTATCAGATAGCACCAGAATAATGAACCATGATAAAGAGAACTAGAAGACTGTCAGATGTATTACAGAAAGATTAGCCCCTCAGGTTAGAAGGCCCACAAAATACGACTGGGGAAGAGCTGCCTCCTCAAAGTAAAGGTGACCATGATGACACAAACAGACCGTCGTATGCTGATGGGGCACAACTCAAAATAAGGAGAAACAGCTGTAAATATCTACTAATAATCAGAAATGGAATGTACAAAGTATGAATTTAGGAAAATTGGAAATTGTAAAAAATGAAATGGAACATATATCCTAAGCATTAGTGAGCTGAAATGCATTGATATTGGTCATTTTGAATCTTACATCTGCATGGTTTATTATGCTGGGAATGACAAATTGAAGGGGAATAGAGTTGCATTCATCATCAAAAAGAACATTTTAAGATATTGAAGTACAACGCTGTCTGTGATAATAACCATATGCCTACAAGGAAGACCAGTTAATACTACTATTATTCAAATTTACCCATGAGCCACTAAAGCCAGTGAGGATGAAATAGAAGAATTCTACCAACTTCTTCAATCTGAAATTGATCAAACATGCAGTCAAGATGTATTGATAATTACTGGTGATTGGAATGCAAAGGTTGGAAACAAAGAGGAAGGATCAGCAGTTGGAAAATACAGCCTTGGTCATAGAAACAGTGCTGGAGATCTCATGATAGAATTTGGCAAGACTGATGACTTCATTGCAAGGACCTTTTTTAAAAAAAAACATAAAAGATGACTGTACACATGGACCTCACCAGATTGAATACACAGAAATCAAATTGACTGTATCTGTGGAATGAGAGAATGGAAAAGCTGCGTATCATCAGTGAAAACAAAGCCAGGGGCAGACTGTGGAACAGACCATCAGTCGCTTATATGCAAGTTCAGACTGAAGCTGAAGAAAATTAAAACAATCCATGAGAATCAAAATATGACCTTGAATGTATCTCAACTGAATTTAGAGATCATCTCAAAAGCAGATTTGATGAATTAGACACTAAAGACCAAAGACCAGAAGAGTTGTGGGATGACATTAAGAACATCATATAGGAAGAAAGTAGGTGGTCATTAAGAAGACAAGAAAGAAAAAGACCAAAATGGGTATCAAAGGATACTATGAAACTTGCTTTCCAGCATAGAGATGCTAAAGCAAATGGGAGAAATGAGAAGGTAAAAGAATAGAAAATCTCAAAGGACAGGTCAAAAACAGAGTAAAATATTATAACGAAATATGCAAAGATCTGGAGTTACAAAATCTAAAGGGAAAAAAGAACACACTCAGCATTTCTCAAGCTGAGGGAACTGAAGGAAAATTTCAAACCTTGACTTGCGATATTGAAGGATTCTATGTGTGGCCCTATGGGTTAATGCACCAGACTGCAAAGCCATTTGAACTGCAAGGTTGGCGGTTCAAGCTCACCAGCTGCTCCTAAGAAACCCTTTACAGGGTCGCTATGGGACAGAACCAACCCAATGGCACTTAATAACAACAATGTGCAAAATATTGAATGATGCAGGAAGCATCTAAACAAGATGCAAGGAATACACAGAGTCACTATACCAAAAAGAAATGGTCAGTGTTCAACCATTTTAAGAGGGAGTGTATGATCAAGAGCCAATGATGCTGAAGAAGGAAATCCGAGGTGCACCAGAGGCGTTGGTAAAGAACAAGGCTCTGGGAATTGATGGAATACAATTTGAAATCTTGTAGTGATGCGACACTGGAGGCACTCACTCATCTATGCCAAACAAATTTGTAAGACAGCTACTGGCCAACTGATTGTGCCCATTCCAAAAGAGGTGATCCAATGGAATGCAGAAATCATCAGACAATATTATATCTCATGCAAGCAAAACTTTGCTAAAGATATTTTGAAAATGGCTGCAACAGTACATTGACAGGGAACTGTCAGAAGTTCAAGCCAGACGAGGATGTGGACCAAGGATATAATTGCTGACGTCAGATGGATCTTGGCTGAAAGCAGAAAATACCAGAAAAATGTTTACTTGTGCTTTATTGACTACACAAAGGCTTTCACCTGCGTGGATCATTAAAGCTACAGACAACATTGCGGAGAATGAGTATTCTGGAACACTTAATTGTGCTCATGAGAAACCTTTACACAGATCAAGAAGCAGTTCGAACAGAACGGTTTAAACTGAATAAAGTTATGAAAGGTATGCAACTGGATTGTATTCTTTCACCATATTTATTCAGTCTATGTGCTGAGCAAAAAAATTGAGAAGCTGGATTATATGAAGGAAAACGTGACATCAGGGTTGGAGGAATACTCATTAACATCCTGCGATATGCAGATGATACAACCTTGCTTGCTAAGAGGGAAGAGGACTTAAAATACTTACTTATGAAGATCAAAGACCACAGCCTTTATGGGTTTCACCTAAAAGTGAAAAAAAAACAAAAACAAAAATCCTCACCACTACACCAATAAATAACATCAAGACAAATGGAGAAAAGATTAAAGTTGTCAAAGACTTCATTTTGCTCAGATCCACGATCAACACTCATGGAAGCAGCCATAAGAAATCAAACATAATGCATTAGGCATATCTGTGTAAGACCTCTTTAAAATGTTCAACATCAAAGATGTCAGTTTGAGGGCTAAGATGCACCTGTCCCAAGCCATGGTATTTTCAATAACTTCATATGCCTGTGAAAGTTAGAAAATAGAGACTATAGAAGAATTGATGCATTTGAATTATGGTGTTGGAAGAGAATATTAAAAGTACCGTGGATCGCCAAAAGAACAAACAAATCTGTTGGAAAAAGTACAGCCAGCATGCTCCTTAGAAGCCAGGATGGTCAGACTTCTCTCACACTTCAGACATATTAGGAGACACCAGTACCTGGAGAATGACATCATACTTTGTAAAGTGGCAGGTCAGTGAAAAAGAGGAAGACCCTGCCCCCTCAATGAGATTGATTGGTACAGTAGTAACAGCAATGGGCTCAAGCCTAGCAACGATTGTGAGGTTGACACAGGACTGTGCATAAGGTCGCTATGAATTGGTTACCCACTCAACAGCATCTAACAGCAGCATACAAAGTAGTTCCTAAAATACTTTTATGAGAGAGTATGCTGGCACTTTGGCATATCATCTCTCTGTTGTTGTTATGTGCCATGGAGTCGGTTCCAACTCATAGCGACCCTGTACAGGGTTTCTGAAGCTGTAAATCTTTACGGGAACAGAAAGCTTCATCTTTCTCCCGCGGAACAGCTGATAGTTTCGAACTGCTGACCTTGTGGTTTGCAGCTTGATTCTCTGTAATTGGAGAAAAATACTAAGTGAAAACAGTGGTAGAGGCAACGCTACACGTTGTTTTTATTTACCTCCTTACAAATCTTAGCTCTGTAGCTAGAACTCATCCTTTGAATGCTTCTTTGTCATTATAACAAGGGGAATTAAAAGTAGACACCAGCTGTTAGTTGTTGAGAGAAGTGGGGGTATTAGAAAATGTTTGCCTACTAACTCCTTCTCTTTCACTAGCTGCTTCACCCAACTTCTCAAATGGTGGTCATGTTACTTCACCAGTCATCCAATGGAGATTCTAATGGGGAACCAAGATAGCTGTACATAGGTGCCATTTTCTTCCACTGGTATTTCTTAGAAAAGAATCTTTACCTAAAAACCTGAAGGTCCCTATAATTTTTCTCTAAAAAGAGAAAATGTTTACAACACCCAGCTTCCCAATTGCCACCACCACTGGTTAATGAAAGTTGACAAGGCACCCCAGATACTTAAAACTGTCTCATGTTGTTTCAGTGAAAAGAACCACAGGAAATTAGTAGGGAAATTATGCAAGGAAGAGTAGTTCATTTTCCATAGGAATTGTGATTTTACTTCTTAAACTACAATGAAAATAGCATAGATAATATATGCTTTAGGAATTTTTTCTTAGATACTAATTACTGGTTTCTCTTTAAAGGAAAAAATTTACTGCATCTAACAATTAAGATATGGCAGAACTGAAGTCAATGTTCCGGGAAGTTCTTCCAAAACAAGGTATTTACGTCACAAATACTTAGGTCATAGAATGTTACAGGAACTGACAAAGTGATACAGTGTCCCATAGTAAGCTTAATAGCTAAACTTTGTGTTCTATATGCCTCATTTACTGTCCAATTTTTATTATACTTTTCATGAATAGGTAATAAAGGGAGACGCCACTGTTTTTTCCAGTAAAAGGACGGTAAACAAAGCATTGTTTTTTAATCCTAACAATCCTGTTATACTCAAAACTGAAGACTGAAATATCAAATTATCAATGAAAGACAGTACTTAATGGGATTCACCATAATACTAAATATGGTCTGAAAGCAAGTTAAATATTATACTTTGTTGTATCAATATTTCTGTACACTATGTATTTCTCCCAAATCTTATTTGAGTTAGATATTTTGAAAGTTTATGTCTCATGGTAGCTTAGAATCTTGAGTGAAGGAAAAAAATAAACACCCAGAGTCATGGCGCAGCCCACTGCGTGTTAGAGCAGTAGTACTCCGAAACACTTTTACTGGCTGTAATCTCACAGCAACGTATCACCAGATCGCCCTTCCATGGTGCTGCCGGGTGCACATGAACCAACAGCCTTTAGGTTGATAGTCAAACTATTTGCATGACCTAGGGGCTGATCTTGTTCAAAATGTTTTACTCAATATGCCACCCCTACTCTAGGATCAATAAATTGTCATTGTTTATGGGCAGTGTTTCTGGCCCCACAACAAAATTCAGTCCAGGAACAAGAGTTTCACTAACAATGGATTAAGCTTTTAGATGTTGATTTAACTACAGATCCAGACCACTGAGTTCTTCATCAATGAAATTTTTTTTTTTTTTTTTTTAACTTAGGGCAACTGTCTGTAGAAGATATAAACACAATGGTACTATGTAAGCCCAAACTTCTGCCCTTAAAATCTCTGACTTTGGAAAAACTGGACAAAATGCAGCAAGCAGCGCAAGATACAATTCATCAACAAGAAATGGCAGAAAAGGAAAAACCGCCAATAACCCACTGATGATTTAACACCACCACAAACACCCTACCAAAACACCCCAAGATTGATGAAACCTACATTATGAATTTAAACACTTTGGTTTGTGTTGAACACAAGTAATTAAAACGCTTTTATCCCAATTTTATGACTTTTTACCCAAGTCAAGTTTTTGGAATTGCCACAATTATTCAACATTCCTATTCTCGGTTTTACAGATAATATTCACAAACAGAGGTGGCTAAATGCACCTTCTATCTACAAATCTTGCATAAGGTATTGGTTCGTGTTGTTCTTGTGGTACTGTGGACTTAATGCAATGGACTGAAAAGTCGGTTTGAACCACAAGGTCAGCAGTTCAGGCTCACCAATCGCTCCTCAGAAACCCTATACAGAGTTGCTATGGGTCAGAACCAACTCGACAGCACTTAACAGCAACAATAAAAACATATATTTGTATGTATTATTTTCCACCAACTTTTGTCATATTAAAAGGCCGTCTTGCATAACTGATCCAACTGGTAATGGCAAAACAAGTTTCTCAAAATAAATTTGATGTTTTAAAAAACCTTCATGTATTCTATATGTTATCTACATTTTTGTTTTTGAGAATTTTCAAAACTTAAGATTATTACATAGCTTCCTTACCATCAAGGTCAACAATGAAAACCCTGAAAATGTATAAATCCATTTTTTGCAGGAGTAGGAAGTTAAAGGAGTTAGGGTTAGGACTATGGCTAGTTCTAGGCTTGGCGTAGGACTTTTAGTGTTGGGTTATAGTTAATGACTAGGGTTAGTCATAGGAGTTAAGCTAGGGCTTGGTTAAGTTTTGTTGTTGTTAGGTGCCACAGAGTTGGTTAATGTTCAGCCGTTTCAAGAGGCAGCTTATAATCAAGAGTCAATGATACAGGAGGAGGAAATTCAAGGTGCACTGAATTGGCAAAGAACAAGGCACCAGGAATTGGTGGAATAAAAATTGAAATCTTTCAAGAAAGTGAGGTGGCACAGGAGGCACTCACTCATCTATGCCAAGAAACAACTATCTGGCCAACTGATTGGAAGAGATCCATATTTGTGCCCATTCCAAAGAAAGGCGACCCAGTGGAATGCAGAAATCATTGGACAATCTCTTCGATATCCCATGCGAGTCAAGTTTGCTAAAGGTAATACAGAAACAGCTACAGTCAAACAATGACAGAGAACTTCCAGAGGTTCAAGCTGGATTCAGAAGAGGCCGTGGAACGATGGATATCATTGCTGATGTCCGATGGATCTTGGCTGAAAGCAGAGAATATCAGAAAGATGTTTACCTGTGGTTTATTGACTACGCAAAGGCTTTCGATTGTGTGGATCATGACAAGCTACGGACAACATTGCGAAGTTTTAGTATTCCAGAACAATTGTGCTCATGAGGAAGCTGTACCTGCACCAAGAGGCAGTTGTTTGAACAGAACATTGGGAACACTGAATGTTTTAAAATTAAGAAAGGTGTGCGACAAGGTTGAATTCTTTCACCATACTTATTCATCCTGTATGCTGAGCAAATAATCCGAGAAACTGGTTAAGTTTAGGGTTATAAGTAAGTTTATTTTTACTTCTTTCTTGAAATCTACTTCCTTTTGTAGCTACATTCCCTCTTTTTAGTTTTTGTTTTGTTGTTGTTGGTATCTCTTGGTTCCCTATTTTCAGTCTTACAGGAGCTCTGGTAGCATAGTGGTTACAAGTTGGGCTGCTAACCTCAAGTACAGAAGTATCGGCCTTTTTGCAGGAGAAAGATGAGACATTCTGCTCCTGAAAAGATTTACAGCCTCGAAAACCTATGCATGGTGGCTATGAATCAGAACTGTCTCTATGGCACACCACTACCACCAGGTTTGTTTTACTTGGAGTCCTGGTGTGGCACTGAGTTAACGTGCTGTACTACAAGATCAATTTGAATTGCAAGGTTGATGGTTCAAGCTCACCAGCCACTCCTTGGAAACACTATACAGGTTCGCTGTTAACTGACTCGATGGCATTGAACATCTGGGTTAGGCGTTCTGGTATAGCACTGCAGGATAAGCACTGAACTGCTAACCACAATATCAGCAGTTCAAACCCACCAGCCACTCCTTGGAAACCCTATTGTTGTTGTTGTTAAGTGCCATCGAGTCGGGTCCGACCCATAGCAACCCTGTACAGGGTTTCCGAGGCTATAAATTACGGAAGTAGAAAGCCTCATCTTTCTCCCGCGGAGCGGCTGGTAGTTTCTAACCGCTGACCTTAAGGTTTGCAGCCCGATTCGTAACCACTATGCAACTGACTCAGTAGCACTTAGTATCTGGGTTAAATTCTGGTGACATTGTCATATATCCTGTTGTTGGTTCTCTGTCCAAATAACTTCCTGTAATATTATTTGTAAGGTTGGTCTGACTTTTACAAATTCTTTTATGTTTATCTATTTTGCTGGTATGATGTTCTCGGTTGGCAATTTTTTTCTGTTTTTTATGTCATCCCATTGCCTTACTACCTGCACGGTTTCCGTAGAGAAACCAGAGCTTAATCTTACTAGTTCTCCTTTGAATGTAACTTTTGTTTATCCCCCCAAGCTGCTTTCATGATTTGTCTTTGATTTTGAAAAATTTGATGATAATACATCTTGGCCATTTTCTTTTGGGGTCTATTCTGTTTATAGAGTTCATTCAACTTCTTGAATGCATTATCTTCACATCTTTCTTGATGTTAGGGAAATTTTCTTTCAACACTCTACTACAGTTTTCTGTTTTGTTTGTCTCTACCTGTTTTGGAATTCTAGTCACACATAAATTATAGGCTTTCTTCATGTTTTTGTTCTTTGTTCTGATTGCTCCTTTAGCAGATGAATTATTTGTCTTCAAGCTCAACAACTTGGCCTTCCAATGATTCAAATTTTACTTCTCCACCCTTTGGAATTATTATCTATTTTTATGTTTTAGTATTAATTTTATGACTTTCTAAATGCTGTTTCTGTATGTATTTCAAAATTTTCATGTATTTTGCCAACTTGTTCTTAGTTTTTTTCTGATTTCTTCTAAAGTTTTGTCTGTGTTTTCTTTGACTTCATCTATAGTTTTCTCAATCAGTCTCAACCCCTTGAAAGTACCAAAATTTCATTCTTTTAAATTCCTCATCAAGTGGTTCCAATACCATTTCTGGTATTCTCTGACTTATTTTGGTCACTGTTTGAGGCATTCTGTCTTGTTTCTTTGTGTAAGCTGGGAATTATCTGTTTTCTCTGAGACACTGTGGCATTATCATATTGATCCATGATTGTATGTTGGTATGTTCTCAGGGACTCATCTGTCTCCTGGTGACTAAGATCAAAACTCCATGATCTTTTAATTCCATTTCTTCACAAACTTTTTGAAGCCCCCTCATATAAGACAAAGTAATTATAATATAAGCCAAAGTAATATGGATTTGAAAGAGCCTAAGAGGTAAATTTAAATTCAGAGTTTTAATTTTAAAACACTGTATATAGATCTCTGATACATTCCTGAGAATACTTTTGTAAAAATTCTGAGTACTAAATTCACAAGGGTAGGTTTCCTGCAGTCAAACAGGCAATTTAAGTAATCAAAGACTCGAGACCTTGCTGAATAATGATGGCTCTGCAAAAGAAGAAATGTGATTATCCTGGAGACAACTGATTTATTTACTGGCAGCTACTAGTATTTTCGTAGACATTGTTAAATATAAAAATCTGAGTCTTTGAAGAATAATTGTACATATCATCAACATTATTTGATAGGATTTAAGAATGATGAAGGGTATACTAATTTTAGCTACTTAATCTAGATCTAGATAAACACAAGGGGTCAGTAAAAACAAGGGAGAAAAGTATTCATACAGTTTTCCTCAGTATAAAATTAAAAGAACGTATTTTACTATTGTACTTTTTATTTAAATGCTGGCAAGGAACAACGCTAAAATTCAAATGGGCTTCCTTGTTATGATTTTTAAATTTACTGTGTGACGTTAAAAGTGTTTTTTTTTTTACGACCCAAAATAAATATACTCCCAATAAAGAATCAACACTGCTTCACATGTTTTATTTTGGCATACATTCTTCTAGAACCGGGTTCATTTTTCCAGTTTTGTACAAAAATAGATGTTCCAGCCACCATTTTCTGAACTGTCTAGTCTTTAAGACCAATCAATATGTTCCCTGGAAAGATGAATAAGTCTCATGACTAACTCATTTTCTTAAAATTCTTTAAGACAAAGAAATAACGTGTTTTGTTTTGTTTTGACTCCCAAAGCACAGTATTTCAACAGCAGCAGCCAACATGGGGTTTTAGCAGCTTAACTTTACCCCCTAAATAAAGCTTTGTATAAACCAGTGATTTTACTACAAAAACACTGTCCTTGAAAGAAAGGAATGGCAGTCTGACATCAATGCAAAACTTGGAATGATTAGGTCATAAACATGGCACTTACAAAAGGTAGCTTATCAGAATATCCCACTAAGAAGTGGTTACTTTTCCATCCGTCCTTTATAGCCTCAAAAAAAAAAAAAAAAGTAAAGAAAAAAACACTTCCTTTAAAAATTCCCCTTAAATGTAAGTTTGCAAACTTTCAGAAATGCTTTGTACCCAAAACAAGTGCTTAAAAAAAAAAAATGTGCTAAACAGCTCTTACAATTCAGATATATATTTTATAACATCTAAGACTGCAAGAGTTCTTCTATTCAGTAGCTCTCTGGTTTTAGACGACCTCCATCTCCTTCACTTACAAAACGCTTTCTGCCTCTGTAATGAAGAGAACACAAACATGAAGACATTCAATGCTCACTGTAGTAAGGAGAAATAGAAAAAAAAACACTTGGTACTCTTCCTTCTAAAGTCTACTGTTGTGTCTAAAATTTTTTTTTTTTTTTTTTTTCCTTTCTTAGCTGCAGAAACAGAATAACCTAAATGTGGGGAAACACATCAAAATCCAATTAACTCTAGCCTATCCCTCATTTTAGAATTCCTGCTATTTCACACTCACTAAGACTTGCTCAGAGTCCTGGTGTGGCACTGTGGGTTAATGCACTAGACTGCAAAGTCGTTTGAATCACAAAGTCGGCGGTTCAAGCTTACCAACCACTCCTAGGAAACTCTAATAGAGGGTCACTACGGGTTGGAACTGACTCGACAGCACTTAACAAGTCTTGCTCTATAATGTGACCACAACTCAAGCTTTGGGCAGTAACAACAGTGCAGAAGGTACAGTTGGCCAGCAGCACAGGGCACTAAGTGGGACACAGAGCTTAGGCAGGATTACCTTCCTCCATGGCCCACACCAACATGCACAGGCAAGTGAGCTCACGTTTCATTTCCATTGTTCCATGAACTTTTTGAAGCCCCCTTGTGTACTTCATCAAATAAGCAAAAGGGTAGAAACTAAAAAAAGTTCTATGGGATACATAGGTAGTTTTAGTATTTCTTCTAATTACCCTTAATAGTAAAGTCACAACACCCAGTAAAACTTTGAAACAGAGATTGAAAAACTTTTAAAGGCTAGAATCATGGTATTGATCCCATTTTTATACCTTGTAAGGTCCTCAAGGTCAATTTGAACCACAAGACCAGCGGTTCAAATTCACCGCCATTCTTCAGAAACCCTCTACAGGGTCGCTATGAGTTGGAATCAACTCGGTAGTATTTAATAACAGCAAGGCTAAATGAAAACCAGCTACATTTTCTTAAACATCATGGCTAGAAACTATAATAAGTCAAAAAGGTATTAAATTACCGAACAAAAATATAGAAATTTTTATTAAACAAAAATATCAAAATGTGGAGCTCAACAACAGCAATAGGTCTGTCTATACAGTTCTGGAGGTGATGTTTCTGACCCTCTAACCCTTACAAAATAAATCTGCATTCTTCAATTTACAAAATGTCAAAATGCTAGTTTGGGCTCCTTTAAGGGACTCAAATTGCATACCTTTATATGTTTTTTTGCGTTTTGGGGAACAAAAGTCTGAAGAGCAAGATGAGTATTTTTAGGGTGGATGGCATTATGTTTCCCAATGAAATTCTCACAGAATAGTCCTTGCCTCCCTCCAAGAATGAGCAGGTAGAATGAGCATTATGATGGGAAAAAATTCCCCAGCACAACTTTCATGGGTCTTTTTCTCACCAATGCAGTTTTCCATTAAAATGTCTTCATAATAAGCCCTTCATAATCATCCTGTGTCCCTCAAGAAAATCTATGAGGAGTATTCCTTTGAAATCCCAAAAAACAGTGCCCATACCCTCCTTTGCCATACCTCTGGACCTTGCATCTTACTGGCCCAGCAGACAGATACTCTTGAAAGCAACTGTTTTAATTAAACAGGTTTTTTTGTGTGTGTTTTTAAGGCACTTAACAACAACAAAACTAAGGGAAGCGTATAGCTGAGCAAACTTGTCTGCAGCCATTCACTGATTCCAGAGACATGTTTAAACACATTTTGTTCAGAAAAAAACCCATGCACATCTGAACTGGAACACTAGTAGCCCTCGTATTAGGAGACAGAAGTAGTGAACAGGGCAGTTAAGTAGCAAGAAGCCTTGCAAAACACTCTAGTGGGAGCACATCAGTACACAAATGATGCCCACTCAAATTAGAGGTCTGTTTCCAAACACTCTGTGAAAGCCATTAAACCATCTTTCATTATTTTTTCCCCTTCTCCCTTAATAGCTTCTGTAGTTTCTAGAGCAAAGAACCCTTCCAGGAAGTTTTTCCTGAGACTTAATTCTTATAATGGAAGGAACCCTGGTAGCATAGTAGTTAAGAACAGATTCACACAAGAAGTTTAACATACTAAACTTTTACAGCTTTTTACTTTAGAACCTTCACTATAAATTGTAATTAAAAAAAAAAAAAAAAAGCCTTCGATTCCCGAAAGGTTAGATCCTAGCACCACAAATATAATACCTCCAAAAATTTTTGTGGTAAGAGCCAATTAACTGAAATTTTCTACCCTGTGATGAAACAAAGGAAGACACATAATGTACAAGAAACAACCCAGATCTTTGAAGTTAGTCAGAGTCTGGATGCCTGCATGGCTCATTTACTAGCTGTGCAACCTTAGAAAAGGCACATTACACCTGTCTATGTCTTTTCTCATCTTATTGGTGATAACACTGACTATGAAATCATATTTAAGCTACATAGAATAGAACCTGGTACACTGGTCCTCAAAACTGCTTCACAAAATTAGCAAACAAGCTTTCTTCAAGTGAACTGGGTTTCATGAGGTAAATTTTTTATTTATAAGGGACAACACAAGCTTCATCCTTGTTTCTCCATAAACTGATTCTTGCTCATCTAGTATTTTATGTTAGAAAGAGTAAATCCAGTACCTTGAAGGACAAAGATCTCTGAGTTGTTTGGAAATTATTCCAGCCTGAAAACATTCTTCTACAAATCGTTCAAGCACAAAATACGAATGTGGGACATCCAGATTAATATCTGGAATTTCACTGTAAATTCTTTCATAACCCTGTAACAAATTTAGATACAGAATTGTTAGCCGTATCAAGTACATAATGCCAAATAACCCAATCCATCACTATGTCATCAGTCTACATATGGTTAGCATATGATTACAAGTCAGTCAGATTTGGACCTTGAAAACACAGTAACACTTCCCAACAAAATGTTTTCTTTAAAACTCTTCTTCCAAAAGCGCTGCAGACAGATATCATCAAACAGTGGGTATTCAGTATTAGTAAGAAAATAGCATATCCAGTATTTCAATAACTGTTCATATTAACTTTAAATAGGAAAAATTAAGTACTTTCAAGTGTAATTTGTTAAAAATTCATGTTTCTCCATAAATACAAATTTGTATCTTAGCACCAGAATACCTAAGAGTGAATACAAAGTCATGTATTTTTTTTAAAAAAGAAGAAAACAACAACAGTGAAGTATTACTCTCCACTTGAAAGTGGAAAGTTGTTACTTTCCTTGAAAGAGGTTCAAATAATTCCTTAAAAAAGTAATAGGCTACCAACAAATAATTATGCTAAAAATACCTATCAGAAAATTTCATTGACAACTCGAACTTTATTCAATGATATTTTAGAAGGTATAAAGTTTTCAAAATTATTCAGAATGATAGTATACTTACTCTTTTCATTTGGTCTATAGTAATAGTGGAGGATTTCCACAGAGATTTTAATAAATCCAAGATCATTTTAAATGTACTTTCTCCAGTTGACTCTAAAACTATTATAATAGCCTAAAAATTGAAGGAAAGAATGAATCATTAATTCATCTAAGAAACTGCTCCTAAATGTGATCATCCTTTTTCTGTAATATGTAATTATGATCATTACAAAAATTTAAAAACTACTTTCTCCATTAAGAACACGGTATTTTGAAAAAGTAAGAAATACGTTATTTTTTAAAGTATTACATCACTGTGGTGCAAAAAAGGTCAACTTAATTATCTGTGGCATATCTAGGTAATCTTACTTCATATACAAGTTCAGGAAAACTTAATTATCTTTGGAATGTCTAGGTAATCTTACTTCATATACAAGCTCATGGTGAAAATGAGGTACTTCCAGTTCCTTAAGGCAATGTTCAGCTTCAGATATGTCTCCAGAGAGTACATATTCTTTCAGCAGCATATCAATCTATTAGATTTAAAAATTAAGAAGTGTTAAAATTGCTCATTTTTAAAAAATTATGATTTGTGCCTAGGGATTTATTTACCCTTATCGTAATAAAGTGAGGAAAAGAAAGAAAGAGACGAAGGAGAGAGTCTTGGCTTCAACAGCAGGCAGGTTTATTAAGAGTAAACCTGGGAGGGGGTACTCTTAAGTCACCAATGAAGACCAAGAGCCCCTCTGTTCTCTTGGGGTATTTAAGGCAGTGTAGTCTGGGTACAGTTCTGGAGAGTTTACAATGGGCGGGAGGGCCTCCAGGTGTAACAAAGACCCAAGCTTGCCAGAGACCTGAAGCTCAAGTAGGCCCCCATTCAGTGCCAATTGGGGATAGCTACAATGCCATTCCGTTGATCAGGCACAGGGTCCTTCAGGAACATATCATGAAAGGCTAGGAACAGCTTTTTTAAGACCATATAGACATATGAGAGTACACTGACTGTAGAATAAGCACTGGATTGTGAATCACACAGTCCTAGGTTCAAGCCTACCAGCAATTCCGTGGGATAAAGACGAAACTTTCTGCTTCCACAAAGATTTACAGCCTTGGAAACCCTATACATGGTTGCTGTGAGTCGGAACTGACTCGACAGCACTTAACAAGATTTGATACGGTACTTTCATAACCATTTTTTCATAAAAAAATATCAATTTTCAAATGCTTCAGAAGTATGAAGAAAATGCAGTACACTTTCATGGTGGTGTACCATGGAGTCAGTTCCAACTCAAAGCAGCCCTGTATACGGTTTCTGGGGAGCCGCTAGTGAACTTGAACCACTGACCTTATGGTTCAAATAGATGGCAGTCCAGCACATTAGCCCACAGCGCCACACCAGGATTAACTGTTTTGGTGGTGGTTGGAGGTTATGTGCCGTGGAGTTGGTTCCGACTCATAGCTACCCCTGTATAGGGTTTCCAAGGCTGTAAATCTTTACAGGAGCAGAAAGCCTCATCTTTCTCCTGCGAAACAGCTGGTAGTTTCAAACTGCTGACCCTGAGGTTAGCAGCCTGATTCTTAACCACTACGATACCAGAGCTCCTTTTAGTGCTCACTATAAAACAAGGGCTTTTAAAGTCCACTAGAGGGCACTAACCGAAAGTCTCAAAATTCTAAAGAGACACAAAATCTTTCACTTCTATAAGTATGATCTTAATAATGCACTGGATAACAACGAGAACAATCATAACAGGGTTTTATTTGACAGGGCAAAGATTTTCATACAGTTTCTCTCTTTTCTAGAACTCAGAATTTGGAGACATTATCTAAAAATCAGTAATTCAGCAAACTCCAAGTTATAGCTAAAGCGACAAGTCTTGATACTCCTGCTCAAACTTGTACAATAACATCTATGGCTCCAGAAAAATATGTGAAAAAAGTTTATAAAATAGGAACTTCAACTAGGAATGATCAGTTAAGGTTACCTTTGTACCTTGTAGGCCCCCAATGAATGTTTGATTGATTCAATAATTTAAGTATCCTCTACCTCTAAATTCCAAAATGAATTTTCAGAAAAAGCAAAATAAAACTTTGATTCCTGATAAATATTTCCTGTTACCCGGCTTTAAGAAAATGAAAGCATGGCATTTCACAGATTATAAATTAATATGTTATTAAAATTATGAAATCCTGGCGTGGTGCTGTTGGATGAGCACTCAACTGTTAAGAGCTAGTCAGTGGTTCAAACCCACCAGCCGCTCCTCAGAACCCCTATGCAGGGTCGCTATGAGTTGGAACTGACTGAACAACACTTAACAACAACTAAAATTAAATGATTTACTTCTGACATTTGTTACAAAACTTAAGAAAGTATTTTAAGTATATCCCAATGGATTTCTTGCATTCTTAGAATGATAAATTACAAATATATGTATAAATTTCTACTCATTCTCTTTGTCCAACCTATTCATCTATGTAAATGTAAGTGAAATTCATATGTCAACCTCAAACTCATATAAATGGTAGTTTTATTTAAATCTCTTACCTTGAACATTTTTTATCTGAGATATAATTCACTTACCAAAAAAATAGTTTATCAGTTCCTCAAGTATCCAACAAAATTAAATCCTCCAATTCATAAACATGGTATACTTTTCCCTTTATTTAGTCCTTCTTTAATTTCTTTTAATGAAGATTTAAAATTTTCAGTGTAAAAGTATACTTCTTTTATTAAATGTATTTCTAGTATTTTAATCTTTTCATGATACTATAAATGGAATTGTTTTCTTAATTTCATTTTAAGATCATTCATTGCTAGTGTAATGAAATAGATTTTATTTGTACATATTAATTTTATATCCTATAACCTTGCTGAACTCATTTTTATTTTTGTTTCGGATTTCTGTATGTAAGATATACCTAAGAATAGTTACACTTCCATATCTTTTGTTCCAATTTATAAGCCTTTTCTTCTTCTTTACTGGTTGCCCTGGCATCTTGACTATTTTTAATCCTCTACTAATTCTCTAAAGGAGCTTTGGTAGCATAGTGGTTACGAGTCAGGCTGCTAAACCTCAAGGTCAGCAGTTGAAACGACCAGCTGTTCCACAGGAAAAAGATGAGGCGATAAAGATTTACAACCTTGGAAACCCTATACAGAATCGCTATTGAGTCCGAACCAACTTCACAGCACACCACCACTAATTCTCTAAAAAAAAAAATTTTTTTTAAATCACAAACAGAACTCTACCTTAACACATAAAAGCAAAAATGGTCAAAGCTTTAACTATATTTTATACTCCATAACACTCAAATTAGTTATGCATTGATATGCACTGACATTCATACACATCATTAAAATACTTACTAAAATTCAAAACTATGGTCACATGAAAAGATTATACTAAAAAATTCAGAAGCACAAGAACTATAAATCTTCTAATTACCTACTTTTTCATAAAGATTTTCAGGTAAGGGGATTACACAACTTCTTTTGGTTCCGTGATATAGATCACCACATTACAGACAGAAAAATTCATAGGGAATGCACCTTGCATTTTAATGCAACAAATCAAATACTTTTTCTTATATAGTATCCATCACTGTAATCTACTCTAATGTATAATGAGTAACTACTGATCTGAGGATATCAAATTTCAAATTGCTCATATGAAAATAGATACTTACTGTATAACTAAAAAATGAAAGTCTTACTTCAACAGCATTTGGATACCAATATAACATAAGTATTATAAATACCAATATAAGAAAAAGACTTCAGGTCTTTGACATTCATACACAGTCCTCTTACAGTAAAATACAAAGGCTCATTTAACTGAACACAGCCTCAATTTTAAGTTGGGGAAGCAGTAATAATTTAATAAGAAATATATAATTATTATATAGCTTATAGCAAAAGAATATAAAGTCAAATATAAAATGATCATTCATATTTTTCATTTACAGCTATAGAGTTATTTTTTAAATTTTAATACTGACTAAACAAAAATACAATAGGCACAGTTTATTTCTCCCAAAGTAACACATATAAAGACAAAGTCCAATAGTTACCTCTTTAACAAGGTGATTGACAGACTGCTGCCCACCTCCAGATCCCCAAACACTATCTTTACGCTTTCCACCTTTAGACATACTCAGAAGCACAGTAGCCTTGTCCAAAGCAACTCTACAAAAAGAAAAGAAAGAAAAAAACTTAAATTTTGACAGTGACAGGCTTGACGCTGACCTAATGATGGGTACACTGACAAAATCCCATATATGTGACAAGCTTTCATATAACATAAAAGCAGCATAAAATTCAAAATGTTTGAAAAAGTCATTCTTCAAAATAAAAGGTTGGGAACAAAAATAAGTTGATTCTCATGTTGACTTTCTCATGCTCTATGTATTTCTCACCCAACAAAAATCAAAGATACTACAAAATACAAAATACTGAAAAGGATAATTTCAAAGAACTTTTACCTAGAAATTTTCTTCCCACCCAAGGAGACCATTCCAATATAAAGCTGAAGAAGCCTTAGAAACTTAAAAGTTAGGTTCAGCATGTACATCGTAGAACACCTATGACACGGCTAAGTTCAAATCAATTCCCAGAAGTTCCAAAAAAGTTCTCACAGACCACATCTAGCCTAAAATTAATTGTATAAAAGAACAAAAGTGAAAAAGACTACTTCCTGGCTAAGAAAAGGTGTCTACATCAAATAAATGAAAGTTGTAAATGGTGCTCCTTTATTATAGGTGCCCATCTGATTTGCCTTATTTGAATATTATATAATTATACAATGTTAGAACCTGAAGGAATCCTAAAAGAACATTTGAAAGTCATTCCATTCACTTTATAAACAAGGAAACTGAGGCCCAGGGAGTGGCTTTGACATGAAGGTATCTAATGGTTTAGCCAAAAACTAGTATAAAGTATTATCCTCTTCCCCTTATATCATACCAACAATCTCTTAACAGTGGAGAATACAGACAGCAGATAATTTGATGCTCACATCTGATTAATACCTAGAATCACTTCAATAGAATAATGGAGAATTTCCCCTATTTTGAAATTCTAAGTAGGAAAATTAATTTACTTACCTAGCCTGTAAACAATCTACAGTTCCTTTGTAACTGTCAATATAGGTATTACATAAAATTCCATCTCCAACAGCTCTAGCAATAAACTGGCCCACCAACTACAAAAAATAAAAGAAAATAAATGTTCATAGGACACAATTTCTCCACACAAATAATGTAGACTGGTTGAACTATAATCAACGACATGTTGGAATATTCAACAGAGTGTGGTAGCTCTGTAGGATAAGCACAGAGCTGCTAACGACAAGGTCGATGGTTTGAGTCCCCCAGCCACTCCCACTGGAGAAAGATGGCATTTTCTGATCCCGTAAAGATTTACAGCATTGGAAATCCTACACAGGGTTGTTATGAGCTGAAACCAACTCGATGGTACTTGCACATTCCCACTTCTTTTCATTCAAGTTAAGAACATAAGGACCAGAGTGGCCCATGTCTGTCTTGTTCATTATTGAATTCCCATCACCTTGAACACTGCCTCATACATAGAATGTGATCAAAAATAGGAAGAAAAGGCAATGTAGAAATATTCATCTGAACGTATGTACATAATATTAATTTTTATAAAAATCAGAAATTACTTTAGTGCCCAACAATAAAAGTATGATTAAATGGTACACATATTGTAAGAGTACCCAATGTGGCCACAGGGAAAATCTTCATGTTTTATGGAGAAAAGTCAAGTTCACAAAAAAGCTCATATGGCATGATTCTATTTTATTAAAGCAAAAAATTTTAAGTACATCCATAGAAAGTAGAATGGGAAGCTTGATTTTAAAAAAATCACTGTAAGCAGTGGTTATTTTCTTCTTTTTCAAAATTTTTATAATGTATATAAACTTATATCATCAATTGTTTAACGTATATGCACTGCTATAAAAGAGGAGGAAAAGTCCATTGTTTGAATCAAAGCTAACCTGACACAGAGTTTTATCTGTCAGGTGAAATCAACATTTAAAAATTGGCCTATTTATACTTTATTTCCAAATTAATGTTTAGTGATTAGTAACTACCTATTGAAAATGTTTGTCAACAATTTCTGATGTTTTCAGTTTCAAGCCAGAAAGTTACCTTATGTTCAGTATATACTAACTTCTGATAAAAACAAACCCTTGAGAATAGATTCTAAACAGAACTCAGGAATTTTCTCACGTATTTTCCCACAAAGCTTCAAAAGGAAACATCTTACTTATAGTTATTTTTATAATAAACATTATTCAAGCAAATTCAACCCTTAACAAGTTACACTTTTAAAAATCCTAGCTCATAAACAGCTTAATTTTACTTAAACAAAATTTACGAACAAAAAAATATGGCCCAAAGACGTTAAGAAGCATTGCAGAAAAAGCAGGATATAAAACCTGGGTTTATAGTATGATGAAAAGTTAATTTTAAGAAGGAAGAAAAGAATGAAAAGCAAGAGAAAAAAATTTTTAATGTTAGAGAGCTAGTTCTGTGGGCCAGTTTCCCCTTCCATGTATTACAATCTCCTAGGAGCATGTACGATTTCTGTAACTGGAAGCGAGTGTGGGAGATCAACAAGAAGAAGAATCATACAAACCTGAGGTGCTCTAGGAGTGTCCAAGGCTAATTCAGGTAGATCTTTTAACAATTTATCAAATGATTTTTCTACATCATTTGTGCTCATTACTGTCCCACAAAGGTCAGAAAGCAGCTTAGATGTCATTTCTCTATGACTAGCCTTCCCCTCCAATGCCAAGGACACTGCCAACACTGGTACTCCACTTTTCATTTCACCAAGATTTAAATCTCTTAGCATTTCCTATTAAAAAAAAATATATATGTTTAATGAAAATTTTATTTTTTTAAATCAAACTTTTACCATCTATCTTTTACCCACTTTGAAAGCAGTGAAGCAGTCATGTTGGAATAGGGTTAAGTGTAAAACTCCTTGCATATAAATTAGGATTTGTTTATACACTCTGCTGAGTTTTAACTGGCTGACCATCACTCAACTCAGGAATGTGAAATTACACCTAGATTAGCTTATTACTTAACATAATATTGCTAGTTTGGTATTAATAGTTAAACCTAATCATGTCTTGTAGTTTACTATTATTATTTTTATGAATTTGGTTTTATAAACGTTTGTGGATTCATTTTCCATTATCATAGGGTGTTTTACACACTTTTTCTTCAAAATTTTTTCTTCACACAAACAAAAAATGTACTTTATATTAAGTTTAAAGTGAGATTTTAACCACTGTCTTTAAATGAAATTAATGTTTTCAATAGTGGGATAAAGTTAATAACTGGTAAGTGCTGTTGAGTCGACTCTGATTCACAGTGACTCCATTTGACAGAGGAGAATTTTCTACACAATAATCTTTACAAGAGCAGATCGCTAGGTCTTTTCTCCTAAAAATAATAATTTGTTGTTAAGTGCCGTCAAGTTGGTTCTGACTCAGCAACCTAGGAAACCCTATATAGGGTTGCTATGAGTTGGAACCACCTAGACGGCACTTAATAGCATAATGTATCAGGTATTATTTTTAATCGCCACTTAATTTGTATTATCTCATTTAGATATTCAAAACAACCCTTTGTTGTTGTTGTTAAGTGCCGTGGAGTCGGTTCCGACCCATAGCGACCCTGTACAGGGTTTCCGAGGGTGTAAATCTTTACGGGAGTAGAAAGCCTCATCTTTCTCCCGCAGAGCAGCTGATAGTTTCAAACTGCTGACCTTAAGGTTTTATTTATCAAATCATTCCTGAAGAGGATACACACCTGGAGTGGCCAAGCTAGAAGTACATTCAGGCAATGTAACTCTACAGGCTTAAGTCTAGCTTAGTAACACAGAAAGTTTTCTCAGAACCTAAGAATCCTTAGAGAGTGCATTATCATTTCTTCTCCTACTCTTCACTGTATGCTTCCACATTACTCTGCTCATAGCACTACTCAGTTAATAAATACCTAGAATGCAATTGGAAAGGATCTCTGGTAGTACAGTGGTTACAACTGAGGCTGCTAACCTCAAGGTCAGCAGTTTGAAACTACCAGCTGTTCTGCAGGAGAAAGAGGAGGCTTTCTGCTCCTGTAAAGATTTACAGCCTTGGAAAACCTATGCAGGGTTGCTATGGGTAGGAACCAACTCGACAGCCTATAACCACCACTATCACCACCATGCAAGTGGAGGCCTGGTGTGGTACTGCAGAATAATGCACTGGACCGTAAGGTAGGATAGGGTCGCTATGAGTCACAACAAATTGATGGCACTTAACAACATTCTGCAACTGGACTTATGCTACATATATACAGGGAATTCATCCACCCTTGTACTACAAGACTTAGTTAAACTCTATTTCTTTAGCAGAATATCTGACATTATAACAGTAATAATCTGTTTATACAGTATTTCCCTTACTAGATTGACCTTCAAAGAGCTTGAATCACATATCGTAAATTCCTTCAGATTACAATATGTACTGGGCAAGTAGTTCCTTTACAGTCAAATCCTGCCAATCCAAAGATGGTGGTGGTGGTATGCCGTGGAGACGGTTCCGACTCATAGCAGGGTTTCTGAAGCTGTAAATCTTTATAGGAGCAGAAAGCCTCATCTTTCTCCCAGGAACAGCTGGTAGTTTCGAACTGCTGACCTTGCAGTTCGCAGCCCAATTTATAATCACTACGCTACCAGAGCTCCTTAATCTAAAGATAGCAAACCTCATTATATCAGACAAATCAAGAAAATCTAGCCTAAATTTTGTTGTTGTGTTCAGTGCCTTCAAAGTCAGTTCCTACTCACAGCAACCCTATATAGGTTTCTAAGGCTTTTTAAAATACTTGTGGGAGCAGAAAGCCTCATCTTTCTCCTGTAGAGCGGCTGGCAGGGCTCAAACCACAGATCTTGTGGTTCATAGTCAAGTGCCTATCTGTGGAGCTCCTGAGCTCCCCTCCTAAATTGTAAGAATCTAGATTATATGTCTTTTAAAGAATTCTAACGTTATTAATTTCACTTAGACCTTATGCACAATAGAAGGAAACACTGCCTAATCTGGCACCAACTTCACAATCACTGCTATACTTGAGCCCACTGCCACTGCCGCTGTGCTAGTCCATCTCATTGCGGGGCTTCCTCTTTCTCCAACTCTCCATTTTACCAAGCATGATGTCTTTTCCAGGGACTAGTCCCTCCTGATAATATGTCTGAAGTATGAGAGATGAGGTCTGGCCACCCTTGCTTCCAAGGAGCATTTTGGCTGTACTTCTTCCAAGGAGAACAAACAGATTGATTTGTTCTTTTGGCAGTCCATGGTACTTTTAATATTCTCCTCCAACATCAATGCGTCAATGCTTCCACTCCACGGTCTTCTTTATTCCTTGTCCAACTTCCACATGCAAATTAGGTGACTGAAAATACCATGGCTTGGGTCTACCTTAGTCCTCAAACTGACATCTTTGCTCGTGAACACTTTAAAGAGGTCTTGTGCAGCAGATTTGCCTAATGCAAAACGTTTGATTTCTTGACGGCTGCTTCCATGAGTGTTGACAGTTGATCTGAACAAAATGAAATCTAACAACTTCAATCTTTTCTCCATTTTTATTGATGTATTGAGGATTTCTGTTTTCTTTACACTGAGGTGAAACTCATACCAAAGGCTGTGGTCTTTGATCTTCATCAGTAAGTGTTTTAAGTCCTCTTTGCTTTCAAGCAAACAAGGCTGTATTATCTACATGTCACAGGATATTGATGAGTCTTCTTCAAACCCTGATGCCACGTTTTTCCCCATGTAACTCAAATTATTTGCTCAGTACACAAAGTGAATAAATATGGTGAAAGAATGCAACCCTGGAGCACACCTTTCCTAATTATAAACCATTCAGTTTAAACTGTTCTCTTTGAACAACTGCCTCTTGGTCTACGTAAAGGTTTCTCAGGAGCACAATTAGTGTTCCAGAATACTAATGCTCTACAATGTTGTCCATAGCTCATCATGACACACAATCAAAAGCCTTTGGGTAGTCAATAAAGCACAGGTAAACATGTTTCTGGTATACAGCCAAGATCCATCTGATGTCAGCAATTATAACCCTCATTCCACATCCTCTTCTGAATCCAGCTTGAACCTCTGGCAGGTTTTTATTTTTGAATTATCATTAGCAAAATTGTACTTGTGTGTGATAATGAGTGATACTGTCAGATGATTTCCACATTCTATTGAGTCACCTCTCTTTGGAATGGGCACAAATATGGATCTCTTCCAGTCAATTGGCCTGGTAGCTGTCTTCCAAATTTCTTGGCAATACAAGAGTGCCTCCAGTGCTGTATCAGTTTGTTGAAATACTTCAATTTGCATTCCATCAATTCCTGGTGCCTTGTTCTTTGCCAATGCCTTTGATGCACCTTAGATCTCACCTCTTCCTTCAGTATTATTAGCTCTTGATCCTATGCTACCTCTTGAAATGGCTGAACATCAACCACTTCTTTTTGGTACAGTGACTCGGCGTATTCCTTCCATCTTGTTTAGATGCTTACTGCATCATTCGTTATTTTGTGCATAGAATCCTTTAATATTATAAGTCAAGGTTTGAAATTTTCTTTCAGTTCCTCAGCTTGAGAAATGCTGAGCATGTTCTTCTCTTTTGGTTTTCTAGTTCCACATATTTACACATTTCAATATAAGAGTTCACTTTGTCTTCTAGAACTACCCTTTGAAATGTTCTATTCAGCTCTTTTTCTTTCCTTTGCTTTAGCATCTCTGCACTGGAGAGCAAGTTTCAAAGTCTCTCCTGACATCCATTTTTGTCTTTTCCTTCTTTCTTGTCTTCTTAATGGCCTTTTGCTTTCTTCTTGAATGTTGTTTCTGATATCATCCCACAACTCTTCAGTCATTAGTATCTAATGCATCAAATCTGTTCTTGAGATTCTCTATATTCACATGAGATTATGCTCAAGGTCCTATTTTGGCTCTTGTGGACTTGTTTTAATTTTCTTCAACTTCATCCTAAATTTGCATAGGAGCACAATTGATGGTCTGTTCCACAGTTTGTCACTGGCCTTGTTTTGGCTGATGATACGTATCATTCTACAGATGTAATCAGTTTGATTTCTGTGTATTCCATCTAGTGATGTCCATGTGTATACTCATTTTTTATGTTGTTTAAAAAAGGTATTCGCAACGAAGAAGTCACTGATCTTGCAAAATTCTACCATGAGATCTCCAGCATCATTTCAATCACCAGAGCCTATTTTCAAATGATTGCTCCTTCTTCGTTTCCAAGCTTTGCAGTTCACTTGCCAGTAATAATCAGTACATCTTGATTGCATATTTGATCAGTTTCAGACTGAAGAAGTTAGTAGAAACTCTTCAATTTCATCATCACTGGTACGTAAATTTGAATAATAGTGGTGTTAACTGGTCTTGCTTGTAGGCATATGGGTATTATAATATCACAGACAGCATTATACTTCAAGACAGATCTTGAAATGTTCTTTTTGATAATGAATGCGACATCATTCCTCCAATTTGCCATTCCCAGCATAGTAAACCATGTGACTATCAGATTCAAAATGGCCAATACCAGCCCATTTCAGCTCATAGGATATCGATGTTTATGTGTTCCATTTCATTTTTTACAATTTCCAATTTTCCTAGATTCATACTTTGTACATTTCCTATTACGACTATTAATGGATGTTTACAGCTGTTTCTCTTCATTTTGAGTTGTGCCCCATCAGCCAATAAAGGTCCTGAAGGCTTTACTCCATTTGCATCATCACAGTCAATTCTACATTGAGGAGGCAGCTCTTCCTGGATCATATTTTGAGTGCCTTCCAACCTGAGGGACTAACCTGAGTGACTCATCTTCCTGTACTACATCTGACAATATTCTGGTGCTCTTCATCATGTTTCAATAGTCAATATTCTTGTACTATCTGACAGTGTTCCACTGCTATTCTTAGGTTTTCAGTGACTAAATATTCAGAAGTAGTCCGTGTCTCTTTCTTCCTAGTCTGGCTTAGTCTAGAAGCTCAGCTGAAACCTGTCAACCATGGGTGACCCTACTCGTATTTAAAATACTAGTGGCATAGCTTCCAAAATCACAGTAACATGCACGTTACCACAATATGACAAACTGTCAGACAAGTTGTAGCAGAATGTTGATAGAGGCCTTGGAATTGTATTAAAACATCATGCCATGCTAACCTCATTTTCGTTAAGTGGTGTCGAGTTGGTTCCAACTCATAGCGACCCTGTTTACAGTTTCCTCCCTGTATAGGGTGAGTCTGAACCACCAACCTTATGATCCAAAACAAGCTTGTAGTCCAGTTCTTGTTCTACCGTAACACACCACCACAAGTTGATGTTAATGGGCAAGGAACAACTCAGAAAAGGAGGGTGAGAATGGTTGCCTAACAACAGAATGTAATCAATGTCAGTGAAGTTCACGTATCAAACTGGTGTGTGTGTGTTTTTCCTGAAGTGTCACGCTATGTGCCTTTTTCATGAGAAAAGATGGCACACAACTCTCATCGGATCTCAAATGGGGTATGATTACAATCATGCAAGAACTGGTTTATATAAACAAAACTTTATGGAGATTAATTTATACACAAGAAAATGCTTAATCAGTGGAACCAAGATCATTCCAGATATTGATGTTTTACTTATAATAGTATACATAGTCCCTCATGTATTAAATATCTGTACATCCAACTTTAAACCTACCGCAACTTCATTGGTATCTCCATGCTCAAAATATTCCTGTATTATTGGTGTTAAAGTCTTCTCAAACGCCCTTTCATCCAAAGGCAGAACGACAGTTTCATAAACACAATTCTCCTGAGAAGGGAAAGGGGAGAAAAAGTTATAAAATAAAATAAATTTTAACTAAAATAGTTTTATAATTTTACATTCCAACTGGTCATTAATTACATTTGTTGTTGTTGTTGTTAAGTCCATCAAGTCAGCTCCGACCCATAGCGACTCTGTAGAGGATTTCCCAGGAGCAGCTGGTAAGCTTGAACCGCCTATCTACCAGTTCAAACAGTTTTGCAGTCTGGTGCACTGACCAACAGTAGACCACACCAGGTCTCCATTTAGGTCAAGATAAAGACATGCTACATGCTTTGCCCACTTTTTTTCTTTTTAACAGTATTTTATTGTGGTGCTGTGGGTTAATGTGCCAGACTGCAAAGCCATTTGAACTGCAAGGTAGATGGTTCAATCTCATCAGCTGCTCCTCAGAAACCCTATACAGGGTCGCTATGGGTCGGAACTGACTCAATGGCACATAACAACAACAAAGGTGAAAGTTTACAAAGTTACTATTTAATAATTTCTACACAAATCATTCAGTGATAGTTGTTATGAATTTTACAATGTGTCCTCAGTCTCATTCTCATTCATTCTGTTTTCCTGCCCCCTGACCTTCTCATCTTTGCTTTTGTATAATTTTTTACCATTTGTTCTCATATAGATGATTTCTTAAAAGAACCAACCTGTTATTTAGCTAAAAGGTTAGCCACTAGGGATAATTCCAGTTTAAGGTTTAAAGAATATCTCAATTTAAGAGTCTTAAGGAGTCCTCTAGTCTCAACTGGTCCACCACTAAGTCTGGACTTTTTAAGAATTTGAGTTCTGTTGTATATATTTGTCTTTTTCTATCAAGATCCATAAGGAGCTCTGGTAGCACAGTGGTTACAAGTCAAGCTGCTAACCTCAAGGTCAGTAGTTCGAAACTACCAGCTATTCCACGGGAAAAAGATGAGGCTTTCTGCTGCAGTAAAGATTTATAGCCTCAGATATTCTATACAGGATCGATATGAGTCAGAACCAACTCCACGGCACATAACCACCACCCATCAAGATCCATATACTGTGGTTCTACTCAGAATAGTCAGTAGTGGTAGCCAGGCACCATCTTGTTCTAGTTTTGGCATAGAGGAAGCCGTGGTTCATATAGATGATTAGACCTTAAAGGAGCCCCAATGGCACAGTTGTTAAAGTACTTGGCTGCTAACCAAAATGTCAGCAATTTGAATCCACCAGCCACTCCACAGGCAACAGATACAGCAGTCTGCTTCCGTAAAGACTGACAGCTTTGGAAACCCTTTGGGGCCGTTCTAGTCTGCCTTACAGGGTAGCTATGAGAATCGAGTCAGGATTGATTTTTGTTGTTGTTATTAATTAGTCCCTTTGACTAATTTCTTCTTTGAGTCTTTGGTTTCCTTATTTCTTTATTATTCTGAATGAGCAGAGACCAATATACCCACTCCTCACTTATCAACATGGTTAGGATTTAACCACCAGGTCATTATATGAAAATTGGCATTGTGATAAAACTGACCATATCATATCAGAAATGGAGGATGACTGCATCATTACATAATTGCCTAATTACAACATGGAGTCCTGGTGTGGTGCTGTAGGATAAGCACTGGACTGCTGGCTACAAGGTCAGCAGTTCAAACCCACCAGCCAATCCTCAGAAACCCTATAAAGGGGCGCTGTAAGTCAGAACTGACTACACAGCTGTCAAATCACTGAGAATCACGGCTCAGTCAAATTGATATATAATCTTAACCAGCACAGCCAGTGTTACTCTTCCCTTGAATTTAATACTCAGACATACATTATTAATGCCCATGATAGTCAGATTTTTTACTATTATCATAAATACAAAATGTTGAATAATGAGAGGTAAGTGAAAAGGTGTAGTTTTCTATTACATAGCCACTCAAAAGCTTTTAAGACTACTCAGTACTTTAGGCTGTACAACACACTAACTTTATGAACTTATATCAATTGGCATAACTTACATTATGCCAATTAGTAAGTTGTACCATAAAATTATGGTCCTAAGCTTCCAAAAATCCAAGAAACCCATCTTGCAAGGTAGACCACATGTTTTAAAATGTAGTTGTTGTTAAGTGCCGTCAAGTCGGTTCCGACCCATAGCGACCCTCTAGAGGGTTTCCAAGGAGTGACTGGTGAGCTTGAACCACCAACCTTGCAGTTCAAACAGACTGTGCCATCTAGCACATTAACCCACAGTGCCACACCAAAATAGAGCCCATTAATCACTGTTCTTTTATAAAATCTGACTAAATCAATATATACATTAGAACTATATAACAAACATATGACCTATCTTAATTCTTCATACTTTCTGTTATCTCACAAAGCCAGTCCTTTGTAACTAAAAAGCTTTGATAGTGTCCTATCATATTTTCACTAAAACTTCACTTAAAAAAAATAAATCAAGACCAAAGCCTTCATGATTAGGAAGCATTATCATAGAAGTCCCATGAAAATCACTGTTGTACTGACTAAAAAAAATCACGAATGAAAAACAAGGTTCAACTGAAATTTCAGAAAGTAGTAAGATCAATTGATGTCTATCACCAAACCATCCCCAATATCTTCCTTGCTTAACTAGCTAAAATCACTACGTTGTTATTATTAGGTACCATTGAGTCAGTTCCGACTCAAATCAGTAAGTATATACATACACCCTGATATTTTCACAACCATGTCTTACCTTATGCAAGGATACTGTTTTATAAAACATGTCATACAGTGTTCTACATCATACTTTATGAGTAGCAACTGGGATCTTAAAAGTTTATGAGCAACCATCTAAGATGCAACTATGATCTCTCCCTGTCTAGAAGAAAAGAACAGAGATGAAACTGAAGCTGCTTGAAAACAATTAATCCAAGAGACTTAATGGACCATATAAACGTCAGTCTCCATGACTCTGAGACCTGAAGAACTAACTAACTAGACGGTTTCTTACTATCACTACCAACTGCTCTGAAAAGGATCACATTAGAAAGTCCTGCATAGAGTGGGAGAAAACATGGAACAAAACTCAAAACCATGAAAAAGACCAAGCTTACTGGTCACACAGAGACTAGCAGAACCAGCTCTGAATTCACACCCAAGACTCAATTTTCAGTCAAGCAATAGATAGGTTTAGAGGGGAGACAACACAGTAGTGAGATATTCACATCATAAAACAATTCCAGATCAAAAGGCAAAATTCAGAAAGGTTGGGATGGAAACGAAACATAGGCAAGAAGTAGGCTAAGGGATGCTGCATTGAAGGGACTGCAATCATTGAGATAAAATGATGTGTATGGTTTGTTGATGTAAAACTGACCATCTGTTCTGTAACTCAATTCATAACAGTAAGTTTTAAAAAGGACCTTCCCACAGCAGGATGAGAAAGAGTGTTTTCCCTCCATCAAAGTACCCTGAATTCAGCCTTCTAGCCTCGTGTGGCGCTGTAGGATAAGCACTGAACTACTAATCACAAGGTAAGTAGTTCAGACCCATCAGTCACTCCTCAGAAATCCCCATACAAGGTCTCTGAGTTGGAATTGACTCAACAGCAGTTAACAACAACAGCATAACAATTCTGTAATTTTTATAATCTTCTCAATTATCTCTCATTTACTATGAAAGAAACTATAGTAAAAACAATGCTCAACTTGATAATCTTCCTATGTGAATTTGTGAAGACCTACTTTTGACTCATCCTTAGAAATCATGTAAAAAATTTTAAATATAATACTATTACTTCAGTTGGTGTCCTAATCCAAAATTAACCCCAAACAATCTGAAAACACTAGGAGTATGTACATAATTCTGAAAGTAAGAGAGTCTGTTAATAAATACATGATTAAACTACAGACATGAGGTCAAAAAAGTCCATTGTTTTAGTTGTTAACGTTATGTGCCATCGAGTCAGTACCAACACATAGCAACCCTGTATAGTGTTTCTGAGACTGTAAATTTTTGCGGGAGCAAAAGGCATCATCTTTCTCCCACAGAGCAGCTGGTGGGCTTGAATTGCTAACATTATAGTTCATAGTTCAGTGCTTATCCTCTAGAAGACTGTGCTCGAACGGGTAATTAAAAAAAAAAAAACTAATTCTAAAGCCAAAAGAAAAAGTAAAACAATGATACCTGGTCATCGTCATAGTTAGGATCTTTCACATCCACCTCCTCCACATCATATACCTGTCCAGGTGTACCCCAGACACCTTTGCCTCCTGCACCACCTGAAAAAGTTTAGAATTGAAAAAGGAATGACCCTAAATCTAATGTCACATATATCAATCTAGTAGTCTATACAACGTCAGGTAAAATAGATCAGGAGATAAAATTCTAAATGCAAATAATATCCACCTGTAAAAACATAAATGCCTCATCTGTAAGAATGATACACACATGTACACTATCTGTAAGACTGAAAGTTGCTGTAAAGTGTGTGGTAAAAGTCACTGAAAATGCATTGTTTTATTTTTAAAGTTCAATTGTTAAAAATGTTACTCGTCTACATTGGAGTTCTGGTGTGGCACTGTAGGATAAAAAATGGACTGCTCCCACAAAGTCGGCAGTTCAAACCCACCAGTCACTCCTCAGAAACCCCAGACAGGGTCACTATGCATCAGAACTGATTTGACAGCAATTAACAACAAATTGAAATTCACCTATACATGATTCTGTATGTCATACAGTTCATAAATTTTAATTGAAATCTAAAATAATTCTGTATGTTAAATAATGCTAAAAAAAAAAAAACTACTTCAATTTCTATGCTAGTTGTTTCCAGCCAAGTTATAATTTAAACTGCTTCCTATTCACATAATTTACTTTTTCAACATTAATCAGATTTTATATACTTTATGACCTATTTCCAAAAGAATCCACTTAAAATTGCTTGTAAGTTTAAAACTAAATAGGCAGCTGCTTTAAAATAAATACAAGATCCAAAAAGAAGCTATATTCAGGACTTCAAGGGAACTGATACTGCAGTTGATCTCGAAGTTTTCACTGACATTTCTTGATACCAAAAAATAAAACATGCTGAGCCATAGGATGTGGCACAGAAATCTCAACAAGGGAGAAATTATTTAACAAAGAAACACAGAGACCACCATCATGTTTTAAAGTCAAATGCTCTTTAGATATAAAAGTATAAATTATGTAAGTTATAAATAAGTGCTATTTAAGCATTAACAGCACGGATAATTACTCTTCTCTTCCTCTACATACAAACTGACCACAAATTTAACAATTCCACCTGTTTACGTTACTTAACATAAGCTTACTGAAATGTTTTTATAGGGCCCAATGTGTTGTTTGGTTGTAAAGCCATTCAATACAAGTAAGTTTTTAAAAACATTTTGCAGAAAGCCTAAGCTGTAAATGGAAACTCTCACAATTTGAAAGATGGTGAACTCTCCAAACCGTATTGAAATCCTATTACAGACAAAAGGCCAGGTTAAATCAGTAATCACTCATTTCTTCAACAAACATTTGAGTACTTGCCAAGTACCTGTCACTAAACTGGTCAGGTAGCAGTGAAACAGATCATTGTTGTTGTCGTTAAGTGCAGTCCCCAGTCGATTTTGACCCACAGCAACCCTGGACAGGGTTTCCGAGGCTGTAAATCTTTATGGGAGCAGAAAGCCTCATCTTTCTCCCACAGAACAGCTGGTAGTTTCGAACTGCTGACCTTACAGTTCACAGCTCGAATCAAAATCCCTACACTACCATGCCAGTACCCAAAATAAATATTGCTAAAGAGAACAGGGAACCAGATCTATGAAATCATTAAAATTCTGATCCAGACATTACAAATCAAATTTCTACCTGTTATGTGTTCTGAACAATTAATATTATTAGATCCATTAAATAATGTTCTTGTTAAGTGCCATCCAGTCGGTTCTGACTCATAACAACCCTGTATAGGATTTCCAAGGAGCAGACAGTGGGTTTGAACTGCTGACTTTGTGGTTAAAAGGCCACAAAGGCTTATCCTACACATGACATAATTAGATAACAGGTATGTTGAATTGTTCACTACTTCTTTCAAGCAAAGTGAGACAAGTACATTCACCATTCACAATGGTGAAAAATAGCTGTTTATATTATGCTGTAAATAAGAGAAAAAGTTCTCAAAAAAAGAACTTACCTACTCAAACAAGCAAAATAGTCTCAGCCTAAAGAAAACTGGAATGGTCCTCGGGTTATTAACTATGTAAAAATATAGAAAAGCTATAAACACTTATATTATCGTTTAAATGTCTCATTCCAGGCTCTCTTTTTCTATTTGCTTCTTTGGATGTAGCATGTACCAACCTTTCTTTGGCAGTCCTCTTCCTTTCCCAGATCTGGATCGCCTATCTAACAACTTTCCCTTTGGGCTGGTTGGCACAGTTACTCCACTTCTAAGGGCTTCACTTCCATTATCACTGACAGAATCGCCTCTGCCAGAGTCTCGGGATGAGTTTTTCCGTAGTCTCCGTTTTGCTTTGGCATTAATTCTAGCTTCATTAATGGAGGATGCTGAAATCCAATTTCCATTTATTTCATTCTTTATTTCCTCAGTCCCTGCATTTTCTTCATCACCAGAAAACAGAGAGTCACTTAAATTATCAGGATCTTAAAGAGAAAAATGAAGAAAAGAAATTCTAAGTACTTTTTAAACACCTACTGTTATACCAGTTATACTCACATTATATTAAGTTGAATCACATGAAATTACCATTTTTGTAATAACAATCACATACAGGCACTCTCATAAGGTTCAATCTAATAAATAACTACTAAATAGAATTACTTTCCACATTGTCATGAATTTTAACTGCATATTAATGAACATGGTTAATTTTCTATTTTGTATTTTTTTCTTGAATTCTGTCACATCTCCACAGTAACCACTGCAAATTATATCACCACAGTGCTAGATAATCACATTGTATACATTGTCTATTCATAGTATCTACAGTCCTAGTGTGGTGCTATATAGTAAGCACTGGACTGCTAAACTGCAAGGCTGGCAGTTCAAACACACCAGCTGCTCCTTGGAACCCTATACAGGGGTGCTCTGAGTCAGAATCAAATCAACAGCACTTCACAACAAACACAGAGTATTCATACTTGAATTTTATACATGAGAAAACTGATGGCTGATTAGAATAACTTATTAAGAGTGAAAGCTGGGATCAGTACACTAACCTGTGTCATTTGGACTATTGGCTATAGGAAGAATTTACTGCAAAAATCAATGTTAATGCATGGAGGGGATTGTAATCTTTGCAATGAAATGAAATACAATAGGATGAATATAAAGCTAATGTTCTCCCATGTAAACTATCACATAATTCACAATAAAAACTTTAAAAAATAATCAATCTTAAGCCCATTCAAGTAATGGAGGACTGCACATCCCTTATTGTAAGGCAATACTGAGCAGAAACACCACCAACAGGATTAGAACAAGGTCTTCTTGTAGTCAAAACCAAAAAGGATACGTCTTATAATGGCACTGTCCAAAAGAACTAGGATAAGAGCCACATATGTCATTTAAATTTTCCAGTAGCCCCAATAAAACATAAACACAAGTTGAATAAATTAACTCTACTATATTTTATTGACTCTAATAGATCTATGTTACCATTTCAACATGCAAGCAATTAAAAAATTTTTTGAGTTATTTTACCTTCCTTCTTTCAGGCTGATATTAAGTGCCGTAGAGTCAGTTCTGACTCATAGCAACCAAAGATAAGCTGGTATGTTTGAATTGCCAAAATAGTACTTACTATATTAAGTAAATACTATAATATAAATATAATTTATATTAAGTATAATTTAATATACAATAAAATGTATTAAAAGTGCTTATCTTACAGTGCCACACCAGGACTCCTCTTTCATACTAAATCTCTTGAAATCTGATGTATATTTTAAACACACAGTGCATTGCAATTCAGCCTGGTCACACTTCAAGTGCTCCTATGCCACATATGGCTCGTAGCTATTGTACTGGCCAATGTAAAAAACGGCAGCAATGATCTCTATGTAAAATATATTTTAAATGTATTAGTACCATCTCCACCTCAATGAAGAGAGGGCACATTACTCATTTATTGCCCTACAAACCAAGTGTAGCAGTTGATAGGCTTTTACTGCTGACCTTTTTTGTTAGCAGCTAAGTGCTTTAACCACTGTACCACCAGGGCTTCTATAGCAGCACAAAAATAACTGCAAGTACTGTAACAATGTTTTCAACTGTGATATTCTAAAACCAAGAAAAATAAAAAGAGAGTTAAAAAAATACCCTCTACCATCCGGCTGATTCCAACTCATAGCCACCCTATGTAGGGTTTCCTACACTGTAAATCTTTATGGAAGCAGCCTCCTGAGGAGTGGCTGGTGGATCTGAACTGCCAACTTAGCAGTTAGCAATCCAATGCCTCACTCACAGCACCACCAGGGCTCCTTCCTGCACACAGAAAATCAGAAGATTTGTAAATACAAAATGGCAAAGAAGTTTCAACTTTGAAGTGGCTGTTAAGATTTAAAAAAAAACAACTATACAAGTTGTGCCACCAGGGCTCCTCACATGAAGCTGTATCAAACCATTAAAACCAAACTGACTGACATATCATTGTTGGTTTTAAGTGCTGAGAATCAGTTCCAACTCATAGTGACCCTAGATAGGGTTTCTGAAGATCAGCTGGTGGGTTTGAACCACCAACCTCGCAGTTAGCAGTCCACTGCTTATCCTGAAGCGCCACACAAGGACTCCCAATGTCATTTACTTTATTCCTTATCCAAGTGACTACAGGGGACAGGATAGACTGCCTCATGGAGTTTCCAAGGCTGCAAATCTTTACGGAAACAGACTGTCATCCCAAACTTCTCCTGCAGAGTGGTTGATGGGTTCCAACCACCAACCCTCTGGTTAGCAGACAAGCACTTAACCACTGTGCCACCAGTTACACAGAATAGTGAATTAAAGTCACGGAAGAAACAAAGCCATAGTACTTAAACGTGAAATATGATAAATATATTTGTTACAGAAAATAGCTTTTAGTATCATAAAGATTATAAGGCAAATAATTATCTAAAATAAGTTGCTGGTTGTCGTTAAGCTGATTTCAGCTCAGGACGACCCACTACACTACATGGGTTTTCAGAGCTCTGACCTTTCCAAAGTAGACCACCAGGTCTGTCTTCCCAGGTGCCTCTGAGTAGTCACAATCTTTCGGCTGGCAGTCAGGCACTTAACCATCTGTGCCACCCAAGGAACTCTAATATGACAGACTCTTATTATTCAGAATACTATAAAATACAAATTAACTCTTTGGGAATATTATTCTGAAAGTTAGAAACACATTTTGTCTTAAATTATTCAGCATGTGTGCATCTATTCTACAAAATCATGTTCATTGTTATAGTGATGATGACCACATGCTACAGGAGCTTCATAGAAATTTAAAGTGCCCGTAGGTTAACAATAACATGTAAATTATTACATGGGCAAGATATGAGTTCTGGTAGCATAATGGTTACAAATTGGGCTGCTAACTTCAAGTTTGGCAGTTCAAAACTACCAGCTGTTAGACAATGACGTGGAGCAATGAAGCGGCTGGGGACTTTGGATCCAGAGAGGGAAAGGGACTGTGGACCGAAAACTGGGGGGAGGTGGAGGAGGGGGAAGTGTAGGGGGCAGGTTTCTAGGATATACCCTTTGGCATTGAGATGATATACGATGGAATGAATGTAAAACTAAAGTTCTCTCATGTAAACTACCATATAATTCACAATAAAACATTTAAAAAAAAAAACAAACTACCAGCTGTTCCCTGGGAGAAAGATGAGGCTTTCTGCTCTCGTAAAGACATACAGTTTCGGAAATCCTGTGTAGGGTCACTATGAGTTGGAACCAACCAACACCACTTAACAACAACAACAATAAGTAATGATTTAAATTGTAAAATCATCAACTAGTCTGTATGAAAATATTACTAAGTAGGTTCAAAATTATTCTTCTATCTGCAAAATACTTCTTTGTAACTAGTGGAGAATAGCAATATTTGGAATGTAAATGGATGGGCAAAATTTTAATTAAGTATTTGAAAAATAAACATGGCCTATTTATTCTTTTGACATGAATGAGACAGTCTTTAAAATAAAGATGATGTTCATTATTTTCATAAAATATGGTATGATCTGAAATACTCAGTCAAGGTTCAAGATATTCTTACTTACCTGTAGGGTTTACAGTCAGTACCTGTTCATTTTCTATGTCCATTGTTCCTCAATTTCACTTGCAGTAATTAAACAAATTATCAAATGGAAGTCTTCCTTTAGAATCTGTTTTTTTTAAAGAAGAAACAAAAAACAGTCAACATCTTCTAAACTGATATAATTAAAGTAACAATAATTTACTGACACACATAGTAAAGAAAGAAAATCACCACCTAATTCCATTTAAAAAAATCATCGAAACCCGCAGCCAGTGAGTGAATTCTGACACACGGTTGCTGTCAATCTCATTGTTCTCCAAAGAGCAGTTAGTGGTTTTGAGCTGCTGACCTTGAGGTTAAAGCCCAACACTTAATCTACAGTGCCACAAGGGCCCCTACACACATATACACTTATTCCAAATTTTTTAGGAATATGAGACCTGAAAATTAGTCTGATATGCATATGTAGAAACCTACATCTATGATGATGTTATAATAGGTTATCAAAACTGCTATGAAATACAAATAATAGAATTTTGGATCATCTAGATTATAAAATTATCTATAACTTATCTTGAAGGCACATAAAGCTGCCATTTCATTACCTAGATACTGATAATCCCATTTTAAAACTTTAAGATTTGAGGAAATTTTTGTGTTTTATAATGAGCGTATTTTTTTTAAAAATCTGAAAAATCCTTTAAGAAAAATCTGACTGATTTTAGAAAGAAATGGGTATAATGAATGACACAAGCATCTCAACATTGTAAAGCTCAACTTCAAAAGACTTAAAATTATCAATCATAGAAGGTTTGGATAAAAATCCCTTTTTCTTAGATAATTAGTAACACAAATCAAATGTTATTTGAAAGGCTATCAAAAATAACTTTCATAAAAACAATACTCGAATGCATACATCAGCAGTTCAAACCCACTAGCTATTCCTTGGAAACTCTACACTTAACAACAACAGAAGTAAGATTTCAGTATATCTCGAAATATTTTCAGATAGTTTAGGATAGAGGTGTTATCTGTTTAAATCAGAAGTTAAATATATATCCTTCCAGTCATTTACAATCATCTCACTAGAATTGTGCTCTTCTAAGATATAAAATGCATAAATTAATGTAAACACCTATTAAACTAATTACAAAAGAGCATTATCTTTACCATATAGCATAGGTTGGTGGTTCAAACCCACTTAACAATGACAACATCATTAGATGACAACACCATTAGATGTCGTTGTGGGAGAACAATGCCTCTTGAAACTCAAAAGGTAAAACTGACTTTTAAATTCCTCAGTATATACTAACATTTTTAAAATTTTTATAAGTCTATATAGAACTTGTCTTCAGAAAAAGGTATTATTTTGTAAAACAAAACAAATATACATATGCTGATATTGGAGTCCTGGATGGGGCACTGTAGGATAATGTACTGGACTGCAAGGTCAGCGGTTCACATTCACCACTGGCTCCTAGGAAACCCTATACAGGGTCAATATGAGTGGGAGCCAGCTTAATGGCACTTAACAACAGCAACAACAATAAATCTAATATTATAAATTTAATATTGGTATTATCATTTCAGAAGTTTAAAAAAAAAGGGTGACAGCATTCTCTAGTTTGTTCAACATAAATAAACATGTAATTCCCACCAACTCTCAATTTAGAAAAAAAAACAACTGAACCTTAAAACTATGTATATAGAGAGACATACAGACAACATGAACAAAAATTATTTGCAAGCCTAAACATCTAGTGTCCTTCAAGGCTAAAAATGAGACATATGTTTTATTTCACTGCATGAATTACATGGCCTAGAAAAAGGGTAATGTCATATGATGTGTACAGTTTTAAAATCTGTTGTTGTTAAGTGCAGTGGAGTCAGTTCTGACTCATAGCAACCTATATAGGTTTTCCAAGGAGCATCTGAATCAGTGACTTTGTGGTCAGTAGTCAAGTGCTTGTCCTACAGCGCCACACCAGGACTCCTTTTTAAATTGTTGTTGTTCCTGTATAGGATTTCCAAGAAGCAGATGGTGGGTTTGAACCACCGGCCTTTCAGTTCAAAACATTAAAATCATTTTTCATTCTCTATGCTGCTCCAGTGGTTCGAAACTACCAGCCGCTCCGCGGGAGAAAGATGAGGCTTTCTACTCCCATAAAGATTTACACCCTCGGAAACCCTGTACAGGGTCACTATTGGTCAAAACTGACTCAACGGCACATAACAACAACAACAACAATGCTGCTCCCGTAAAGATTTACAGCCTCGGAAACCCTGTATAGGGTCGCTGTGAGTCAGAACCGACTCCACAGCACATAACCAACACCAACACCACCATGCAAGTATAATCTTTGAGAAAATATTTCCTACAGAGTCTAGCTAATAAAGGGAATGAAATTATGGTAATTATACTTATAAAGCCTTTGGTTATTCAAAAATAATTTTACATGCGTTGTTTCGTGTAACTCTCAGAACAATCTTAAGGTAGGTACTTCTACTTTGCAGACAACTAAACAGATTCAAAGAGGGTGGGTGATCCGCCCAAGAAAAGCAGCTGCTAAGTGGAAGAACCGGAACCAGCACCCAGATCTTCTAATTACAAGTCCAATTACTATTTGCACAAGTTCAGCAGAAAATTTTAACATCCCTTTAAAAACACTAACTTTTAGGATGAACAGAGAGTAGCTTAATAAAGCACTGACTTCTTTTGCGTCAAAATGTTACATACTACTTTACAAATATTATCTTAAACTGAAAAAGACATTCAGTTGGACAAAGAAAATTATCAGCTAATGGCCATCATCTATAGCTTTACAAGTTTGTTTTTATGAAGTAATCATAACAAAGTCCTGTCTTTAGGCAAGAATAACGCAATCAAGAACTCAGTCACACTTGATAACAACACTGACCGTTTGAAAGAGTTTAGGAAGTTCAAAGATGTGTTCCATGTTTTTAACTCTTCAAAGCAGTGGGGTTAGTTTGTTTTTCTCTAATTTACTTAACAATGCTTAAGATTTAAACCTCCAAAATTATGAAAAGAAAAAATTTAAACTGAAAGTCTAAATCTTACATCCATCCTTCACACTAAAGTACAGACAGGAATTGTCAGTAAGAATTACTTAGCTGTTGGGGGTGGGGTGGGGGGCGGGGAATCAAGGTTGAAATTGAACATTGTTTTCTTTTCTCCACAGATGGTCCCTAAGAGACACAGCCTGAATCACAATCCACCTAGTTCCTGAAAGATGCCTCTGCCCTGCAGGGGAGGGGGTCAAGTTTAGGCCCTGGGTCTGCATCCCTAACGTCAACAACCAGCATCCCACCCCAGGGTTGCCAAAGTGTGCACCACAGAAAACATTCAGGTGCCATTGATTTCTGCAGCCCTACCAATCAGGGCCTTTCACATTACTGTAGAAAAACCCACGAAAACACAATTCAAAGATGCCTGCTGAGCTCTTAAGGAATTGAATACTTAGCACTAAAACAACGTTGGGGCCCACAGCACAAAGACTAAAATTACAACACATCTGCAGTGGTCCCGTTTTCAAAGGCAGATGGTTGAATTCCCCAAAAATGTTCCATTCACAAGAATGACAAAAAAAAAATTTTTTTTTTTTTTAATCAACGGAGAACAAGCCAAGGACATTCAGGCGATGAGCGCTCGTGGGTTGACGCCCCCCCCCCTCCCGTTTTTAATCATTTTCAGCCTCGGGGGCGAGGGGACTGCGCCTCCGCGGTGGTCTCAGGGCCTGGGAGTCGCGGAGTGGGCGTCTGCAGACACCTCCCTGTGTGCACCACAGCTCCCCACGGGCCCGTGCACCCCCGGGACCAGCGTTTCACAGAAAGGGGGCTCCCTTCCTGGCTCTGTATTTACTGAAATGGGGAGAGACGTTTTGCAAACGTTTTGCACGAGGAGGGGTGCGATCCAGCTGGCGGGGGGCGGGGGAGGCCGCAGACCGGGTCCCCTCAGCCGCCGAGGCTCTGGAAATGCGAGCGGCCGGCCGCCTCTCCTGCAAGGCCCCACGGAACATCAGTCCCGTCGGACACACACCTCCACACACACACACACACACCCAAAACCAAAATGAAAGGAAAGCGTGGCCAGGGGCCGGAATTAGGAGCCCCTCGCCGGGTTGGCGCCCCGCGCGTCCCTCTAAACCAGGAGGGGGGTGCAGAGGGGGTGCGGAGGGGGCGGGCCCGCGCCGCTGCGCTCTGAGCTCGGGTTCCGGAGAGAGCCCGGCCGCCTCTCCGCAGCCCAGGGCGTTGGGGCGGCCGCGGGATCTGGCCAGGTTGCGGCCCCCGCGCGCCCTCTCCCCAACGTGCGATGCCTGTGAGGAGAGACGGGGCCGCTGGAGAACAGGGTATAGTCTTCCCGAGCGTGCGAGTCGCCCCACGGGTACTGACCCTTCGGGCCGCCTCCGCCGCCGCCGCTCGCTCAGGTCTCCAGGCCGCCAGCCCCGTCCCCGTTCCTCAGTCTCTGCCGCCTCCTCGGCGAGTCTCTGGCCCCTCTAGCTCTGTTTGTTTTTGTTTTGTTCTACCCAGTAACACGGGGGCGAGAGGGCTACTTTGATTGGCTCAGATGAAGTAGTCGGCTGGCCAATCGCGGCGAAAGAGAGGAAGTTGAGGCGGAGACTGGAGGGAAGTGAAACGTGGAAAGCAGGGCAGGGACACTGGGGAGCGCATGCGCGTTTGGCTTCCTGGGTTGGAGTGGGAGGGAAGCGGGAAGCTGGGGTGGGGGAGGTTGGGAGGCCCCGCGAGATGGAAATAGGCGAAAGGGCATTCTTGGAGTGGTGGGGAGAAACTAGGCTGAGATAACGCACCTATTTCCCCCAAGAGATGGTCAGTAAGCTCCGTTAAAGCAGAACTTAGGCTTCCCGAGAGTCCCTGCCTGCACACCTTGACGCCCCGCAGACGCGATGCCTGTAACCTGTCCAGCTCCTGTTGCTGTTGGTGCCTGCTCACTGCATAGCTCGCACTGCTTGCAGACCCCATGTTAAGAACTTTCTCTCAGCCTGTGCCCTCGACCCTTTGAAATCCTTCCATTTCACAGATGCAGAAACAAGATTCAAACTCTTTTGAAGTCCGTTTGCTAATTATGGCTAGCCTGACCACTGGAATTCAAACCCACGCATTCTGGACTCAAAAGCTAGCGTTCTCAACCAGGGCTACAATTTCCTATTGAAATTCTTCCTCCTGTGGCTGTTTTCACCAAGTTGTCCCCTGACTGCTTTCTCAGAAGACTGGGGGGCTCTGTCTCCAGCCAAAAATTCTCAAAGGAATTCTTTATGGAAAACACCTGAATAGTATGTTGGCTTATCCAGAATTGAACTGCTCAATCATTCTGCCTGGTAATCATCTCTAACGTTATTAATTCTCTGCCCACAAAAAAACCCCTTCCCATTGTCTCCCTGGAGTGAGCACCCCTAGTCTGGTCTCCAGTGCCTCACAGTCTGGTATTCAGACTTTCTAGTCATGACCCCACACCCTTTCTAGTCCACACACCCTCTTTGCTGGAACCAGCTTGGTTGGCCATTTCCTGGCCTTTCTTGATCATAAGTCTTTCACCTTGAGATCCTTCTCTTATCTCCCATCTCTGCCTGGTGAAATCCTATCCATGCCTCAAGGCCCTCCCACATACTCTTTCCTGAACCTCATGACTTTTGATTCTTGTACTTTTAGAGTCATTGGCTACATTATACCTAGCATGATTTGTTTTGAATCCCAGTCCCAGCTTTTCCAGGTTCCACTATGACCTTCTTGAGGGCAAGACATGTGTCTGTTGTGTTCTTAAGAAGATGCCTTGACCAGTCATTGTATTCATGCAATAAATGCTCCTTTATCTAAATTCACAAAAGCCCTCAGCAGTTGTTCCTAATTCCCATTGCCTAGGCTCTTGGCATGACCAGCATATGAACTGGCATTGGGAGTCACCTTCACTTATAAAACTAAAAGCTTTACCTCCACTCTGTGTTTGTGTTTTTCAGTTTCTCCAGCTGTCTCCTTTTGCTGCTCTGCTAGCTAATGACTGTTGTTCCTTTTACAAACTACCTTTTCATACCACGTATTTTCTTCTTCTGCTTTTTGGCTTGTGACCCTTTTTCTCATAGCTACCTACCCCTATGATGACCCCTAACATTTTGAACACACCTAGTGTGGCACTATAGGATAAGCATTGGACTGCCAACAACACGATCGGTAGTTCAAACCCACCAACTGTTCCTCAGACACCCCTATATACAGGGGTTGCTATGAGTCAGAGCCAGCTTGACTCATAGTGAGTGTGTCTGGGGTTTCTGAGGCTGTAAATGTTTAACGGAGAAGAAAATCCCATCTTTCTCTCTCAGAGCACCTGGTAGAATCGAACTGCTGACTTGAGGTTTGCAGCCCCCTCGTAATCCACTATGCTACCAGGGTTCCTTAATGAAATAAGGGAGATTGTTGTTGTTAAGTACCATGGAGTCGGTTCTGATTCATAGTGACCCTGCACAGGGTTTCTGAGTCTGTAAATCTTTACGGGAGCAGAAAGCTTCATCTTTCTCCCGTGGAACAGCTGGTAGTTTCAAACTGCCGACCTTGAGGTTAGCAGCCCAATTCGTAATCACTATGCTATCAGAGCTCCTTAATGAAATAAGGGAAGAGTTGGTTATAATTACCCATTTAAGAAAGCAACCTAAAACTAAAATGTGATAAAAATCTTTTATCAAATTACCTCAGAGTGATCCATTATGGAAAAAGAGTTCACGTACATTTTTCTCATCATCTCAAGCACCATCCACAGTGCCCGGCATCTCAGGACCCACTTTTGGGAAAGCCAGTCTGATTGGGTGCAACTGATAAGTTCTGGCCACTCAGTCAGGAAATGGGGTTCTAGCCCTAGCTTCTCCACCAACAACCTGTGAGGACTTCAGTTTCTCTCATGACCTCTCTTTCTTCCTACCAGTAAAATTCAAAGACTGGACTCCATCAGCAGTTCCCATGATATTTCCCAAATACCGTGAATTTTGTGGAACTTCAATAAATGTCATGCAAAAAAGAAAGGAAGGGGAATTATTCTGTGGTCAAATTTAACTTGTTTTCAACTGAGTTAAATTTTTCTTTACCCCAACTCTTCTCAGTATCTTTAATAAACTAATATGCCTTATGAATCTTGGATGACAGCGGTGGGAAAGTCAGCAATATTTCCACTGCTTTGGACATGGAATCTTTTATTTATTTATTTTTTTCATGCAAACTCAAGATCAGTGTTTCTTAGAAACCAGTTTGGAAAATGCTGAACTCTACATGATGAAGATCAAAGAGCACAGCCTTTGGTATGGATTACAGCTCAATGTAAAGAAAACAAAAAATCCTCACCACTGGACCAATAAACAACATTCTTATCAACAGAGAAAAGATTGAAGTTGTCAAGGACTTCATTCTT